TTTTTCTCCCTCACGTGGTTTTTCCTTGCATCCATCAGATTGTATAGCCTGGAGTCTCAAGCAATCACGCTGCGGATTGCACAGGTCGTCCACGGCACACTCCCCTGTCATGATTCCACAAAGGGTGTCAGATGATATCATTCCGTCACGAGATAGTTGCACGGCCACGCCCTTCCGTTGTACCATGGTCAGAGAACCTTTTTGTGTTGTTAGATCCGTTAGAAACCGCGACTCCACTTGAAGCCTCGGCGCCAAGGCACTTGCTCCTGAACTACATCCGGGTGGACCACTCGCAGCAGGAGACCAGCTACGCGGACCTCGCGCCTCGACCTCGCTCCGACGTTTCTGCACTTTCAAAGTGAGGCTATGGTCGCCATAAAGACTATTATAACGGCTGTCATGCCTGTTTTGTGGTGCTATCGTTTTCTCTATTGGTAAACTCCAAACTCCAAACCTCAAAGCTCTTACTTGTAGCCAAGCTCCAAATGCGATGCCTCTACACTCCACACCCTGAGCCGCACGTCTGCTCGAAATTCCTGAATCAAGGCCATCCAAAACTCCTTCCTCAGAAGCTGCGCGAGAATCATTGCGCCACATGCTCTCGAGGCAAGGACGACACCATGCACTTGGTTTACTGCAAACCCTGTCCATTGTTTGCGCTCCGAGTACTTGCAGCTTGGCGGAGCCGGTGGACAGAACAAAAAGCGGCGGACATGTCTTAAGTTGACGATTCGTGAAAGCTTCAACGAGTTTGGGTCTGTGGCGGTTTTCCCCTGCTTCGAGCATGTCTTGAGCACCCGCCAATGCAGAGCTTGTCTTAAAAGGAACTGAACTCACCCATGATCTTCTTTCGTTCTAAGTAAGTACATATGTGCCCGAAAGACACGAGCAGGATCGTGCTTTGAGTCGTCAGGAAGAGGCACGATCCTCCTTGCCGTCCGGGCCCCAAATGGCCGGTGTTTGGGCCAAGGGGGTTTAGGGTTTAGGTCCAAAATTCCTTGGGACTTTCTGGAGCTCAGCTTGGGCGCATTTTTTCCGATCTCTGAGGCTTCTATGTGCCTGGCCGGGAGCACCTCCTCAGGCAGGACGTGGACATTATAGGGTTTAGGGTTTAGGGTTTATAGGGGTTTATAGGGGTTTATAGGGTTTATAGGGTTTATAGGGGTTTGGGTTTGGGGTTTTGGGGTTTAGGGTTTAGGGGGTTAGGGCTTAGGGTTTAGGGATGTCTGCATTGGCATGCGCAAAGGGAGCCTTGCCAGGGCCAATCCAGAGGCGAACTGCCACTTCGAGGATGCCAACTACTACGCGGCCCGGGGGGGACCGGGAGGGAGGAGGGAGGAGACGGAGAGAGAGAGTCGGACCCTAAACCCTAAACCCTAACCTCTAAACCCGAAGCCCTAAACCCTAAGCCCTAAACCCTAAACCCCTAAACCCCTAAACCTCGGAGGCCCTGGGAGGCTTAGAAGGTTTGGAGGCCGCGTCTCGCCGCCAGGTGAAGCCCAGAGGATGGCATCTGCTCAGCAACGAAAAGGAGAAGACTCCGGCTTGACCTCGAAAAAAGGCTTTTCAAAAAACGGGGCGTGCACTCGCGTCTTTGGGATGCGTGTTCTTGCTCTGTTAATTTTTGACGTAAGCAGTGGTAGATCGCTGGCCACGTTTCCCGCCGCCGCTGCTTTTCCGAAGCTCGGAACTCGAAAAGTGACGGGCCGTGCACGAGCTGACCAAGCCGAAGGAGAGACGGCTCCTCGTCTTCTTCTCCCCACGGGACTTCGTCATTTAATGACCCCCCCTTAAGCTTTCCTTTGCGAGGAGCAGGGCTTCCAGAAGGGGCTTCCAGAGGCTTCGGCCGCAGCGGGCGGGGGGCCCTGGCCCTTGCACCCTTGCACCGCTGACGCGAGCTTAGGGCTTCGGGTTTAGGGTGATGTTCTCATCTCGAGCCCTCCTTTTTCGCACCGCTTCAAAGCGGCCCCGTACTCGGTCTCTCCAAGGCCCCCGGTTGGCCCTTCGGCTGCGCCATGCTGCGGGCCGCGCATCGTTTTCCAGCCAGGCTGGCCAGGCGCGGTCACGGCACCGAGCAGATCCGAGCAGCATTTTTTAGCCCACCTGGACCCTCCATGTACCCTCGTTTTGGACCCCAAGTTCCCTTAATTTGGGACCATCTACCCCTAGTTGAGGGTACTTGGGCCCACACAGATCCACGTGATGTCCGTGCAATGCAGGTGTGATCGAGCCCAGACCTGGCAGCAGCGCGGGCGCCGCAGCTACCAAGTGCCCCGAGCAAACGTGGGAAGCCAATATAGGGTTTATATTACAGGGTTTATATTATAGATATTGTAGGGTTTATATTGTTTATATTATAGGCTATAGGGTATCACTGTGCTTTTTCCAGTGGTGAAACATGCTCATATGCTGCCTAAACCAAAGCAGAGACATAAAGACTCTGTGCGACGGGTGCGGGATCCTCAAGTCACAAGATGCGCTTCCGCTGCTCCCAAAGCACATGTAGACATTTACGAGTACTCGTCCGTGTGGCACACCCCCCCGCCTAGCGCATCCGTGTGTCTGGCCATCGGCCCGTCCATCCGCTCATCAGTCTGTCAATCCATGAATTTCCGTCGCTGCATACATCGATTACCTGGTACCCCATCTAGCTCCGATGCAGTTGTGATCAGTGGTGGTGACACGTGAAGGACAAAGCGGTTGCTCAGGATGAGGATGAGAATCACAATGATGGTGACAATGACAGTGATCATGACAGTGAGGGTAGCCGCGATGATGATGCTGATGGGAACTACTGGGTTCCAGCTCTTTAAGGGTCTGCGTTTCTGCAGGCAGCCAGACCCCGGCTCGACGCCAAAGGCAGGGAGTATGTAGAGAGTCAGTGTAGAGATGTGCAGGGATGTGGAGAGAGATGTGGTCCCCGATACTCCCCGGTGCTTCTATGACAAGGCGACGGCATTTCCCACGATGTTCAGCAGCGGGCCTCGGCTGCTCTGAAGGGCCCTTCTTCTCTCCCCTTTAGCCTTGGCCGAGGTACGAGGGCCTTTGGGGAGCCATTACCACCTTTCCCAAGCGTCAACCCTTCGCCACGAATGTGATTGTTGCAACGGCTCCTTGGCCAAAAGAGCCAGGGCCGGGAGGGGTCTACTTGGGACCTTTTTCCGCGAGTCTTTTGCTGGGCCAGGTATTTCTTGCGACGAGGTAGAGTTCTGGAGCCACTGCAGATTCCTTCGGAAGCCCGGGCCCGTTTTCCTAAAACGCGTGGCCGCCGCACGCCGCAACCTTTCTGTTAGGGGGCTAGTCTATTCTTCCCGTTGTTACTTGATGGCCTCCAAAGCCTGTTTTCTTCGAATGGTTTGGGGTCTTGGCAGATCGACCCCCAAAATGGCTTGGGGGCGCTGCAATGGATATTCCGGCTCCCAAAGACTTCATCGTGCAACGGTGGCCTCGTTTGCTCTGCTGTATCTGTACAGGGAACCGGTGGACCCACGAAACCTTAGGAGATTACTTGGGCCGAGAGCTCAAACCTTGTGATCACAGATTTGTTAGTGCATCTGTCCACGCTGTTCTCATTGTCGATGACAATTATTGGCAAGTGCAGGGAGTACCGGAGCTGGTGGGGGCGCAGTATGTTTCGCTTGGTCCCAGCAGCAGCCAAGGTGAAAACGTCTGTAGCTGACCTCATAGCCGGCAGCCTCGGTTCGCTTTGGAGTGCGTTTCACGCTGCGTAGACTTAGACATTTCTTGTAGTGGGTATATCGGGTATCATGATCCACAATACCATGGCTGTGACCGTAAGCCCATGAGTATAGTTGTTCTGTTTTCATAGTCTTGATGACTCGTGTGACTACTGCCAGTATTACGTTTGCTGAAGATGACGAGGTGCAAAAGGCTGAGGGCAAGGAGAAAATCGATTGGCAGAGGCCCGAATTGTGTTCCTTCTTTTCGTAGCAATACTAGCCAGACATGTCTTATGTTGCTGTTGTGGAGGAACGGTGCCTTCACTGCCTTCGGCTTCGCTTACCTCGGCTTCGTGCAGTGTGCCTCAGCAAAAGCTCAGCTTCCATAACGCATGCCTCGGCAGTCCCGTCCTCGGGCTAAAAAGCCCGATACACCCCAAATTCCCTCAAGCCCCAAACCCTCAAAAACTAAATCCCAAGCCCTATGCACACCCGCAAAAACTCGCTTTGTGAGCCTCCCTTTTTTGCTTCATATCTCAGGGTTCATCTACGTGACCCTCTTCACGCGCCTCTGCCCGCACGCCATCCGCTTTGCAAACCTCTCCTGGGCCAGGGCCCCAAATGGCTCCTGAGAATCTCAGAATCCCCCCTTTCTGGCAAGGACTCGGATGGATAGATAGGTAGTCGGATCCCATTTGATGGCTTTTCAGATTTTGCGGTGATGGCTTTTCGGATGGGCGACCCGTCATTTCGAACACCCGGCGCGCCTTCCCGGGGCTTCGCCGGCTCTTCGCGAGGCCGAGAAGCTGAAGGATCGCGCAGGGCAGCTGGATCTCGTGAAGCAGGCGCCGGCTGCAGCGCAAAGCGCGGAGAGAGCCGGAACCCTCTACGGTCTATGAGGGGCAGGTTTCGAGTCTCCTTTTGGCGGCTCTTCTTCAGCCACTATAGTCCCTTTTCGCCATCCCCGCTCTCCTCTTGTCGGCTTTGGCAGACGTGCTTGGACAACTTTGTCCATTACACGTTCGTGTACTTTCCCGTCTTCTACGTCATCAAGGACCGCACGGCAACACTCCGCACGTGCTGAACCCCCAAATTGTGACCTCCCATCTTCTCTTTTCCTAAAAACGGGTTGAGTGCTTTCTTGCCTGTCAGGAGGGCATCAACACCGTCACCGCGGGCCCTGAGGCCGGACGCCCGGAAGAAAAGAGGCTCCCAAGAGCCCCAAAGAGAGCCCCAAGAGGCAGCGGCACCGGCCGAGCCCCTGGTTTCCCGGGCGCTGGCCAAATACTGGAGGCCTCTTAGAGCCGAGCCTTTCGGGGTTTTTCGCGTTTGGGCTGATTTGAATTCTGTCTTCTTTGCTAAAAAAGGCTTGAATAACCACAGAACCTAGCTCCACATGCCAGGAATGCCGTGCAGGACAACCTCTACATGTGGGGTCTCTGGGTCCAGCTCTCAGAAGAGAAGAGAGGCCGTAGCGGAGCCGAGGCCATGTCAACCCCGAAGAGATTTTTTTGCACGGGATGGGAGGCTTCACGCATGCACGCATGCACGCAACCACCTGCAGAGAGGTCCCCTTCGATCTGATAATCTATGCGGCCGGGCACCCAGGGGAAGACCGCGGCGGAGCAGAGGGAGGGCCTCTTCCTTGGAGGTGCCCATCTGGATGAGACTGCCGCTTAACCATGGCGTCAGCCTGGCTTGGACCATGATCCTCGCGCCTCGGCCGAGAGAGTTTGCGTCTCCGTGCACAGAGAGCTCTCTGCGTCTGCGTCGCCTCTGCGTCGCCTTTCCCTTGGCAGAGCGCGCTGCGCGGCAGCGAGAAGTGACCGCCGGGACGCCGCCGCCGGGCCTCCCGCGAAGGCGCTCGCTGCTTAGGTGACCTCCCATGACCTCCACATTTAAGCACTAATGACATGCTGCGAAGTCGGGAGGCCAGTGGGGCAGCTGCGAGGATCATTAACTTTGATGGCTCGCCTGCCGCCGCAGAGCTCTCTCGCCGCCTCAGAGCGGACGGGAAGAAGCCGTTTCCCGCAGTCCATCAAGAATAGTGAAGCACAGCTGCCATTGAGGTTTATCGGTATCCCAAAGCTGAAAGGTAAGTCGCCCTCCCTAGGCCCTGGGCTCTAAGACCCTGGAGGGAAACCCCCTACCTTTAGCAAGGGAGTCTTTGGAAGATGCCTGCTGAGAAGTATAGGAGAGATTGGCTCATCAGGCACTCCATTTTTCCAAGGGTTTGAGCATAGCTGAGTGGTTAAGGCAAGTTCAATGCTTGGCCTTGGATGCTAAAACCCTTCCGGATCCGTTGGACGATCTTGTGGATCCGTTGATGCTTTGGTCTCTGGAGCCAAAGTTAAATCTCATGCTCCAAGGTTTATACTTCTGATCTGCCCACCCATGCTGCGAGAAAATGCTCGCGGTCCAGACCACTGTGCTTGCGCAACTGAAGGAGCAGTATGCAGTGCCAGCCGCGCATGCCGTTGATTCTGATTTGGTATGGAGCGCTGCTCTGCCGTTCTTTGTGGCTTTTCAGGTCCCTGAAGGTGCCAGGCTGGCCCCTCCCGAGCAAAGCCATGCAACGCCCCCACAAGAAGCTGCAGGCCGGAGCATAGGCCCCACAGGCACCAAAAAACCGCAGTGTCCGAAGCCCTTTCGCTGACCCTATTATACCCTCTTCTTCAAGGCGCTTCCCCCCTCCCTTAGTTTTGTCCCCCCCACCCCCTTTGGGGGGGTGCCGGGCCATGACTTAGAGCCGGGTCGCGGGCCGCTCCGAATCCGGCGGCGCCCGGGGGAATTCTCGGGTCTGAGCCGCTGCTGCCGCTCGGGCCGCAGGAAGGGGGGGGGGGGCTTATGGCTGCTTTTTTGAGGGTCTTTCCCTTTTTTTTGGGGGGGGTTAGGGGCCCTTGAGAAAAGATGCCTGCTTTAGCACAGAAGCCCACTTTTTTGTGGCAACTGCCACGTGGGGATCTTTGACTTTGGGCCCTGCGGGCAATCGCCTAGGTTTGCAGCTGCAATGGATGCCGAGAAGATCAACGATCAGGAGGCCCAACCTCCAAGCCATAGGGGCAAACAGGGGCCCTAGAATCCGAGAAGCAAAAGACGGTCGATCAATCGAGGACTGAAACAAAGTGTGTCAGGTGAAAATTCTGGAGGCGTCGCTGGCTTCGAATCCCCGGCTGCACTTTGTACGCTGCGTCCATTTCTGCTGTTGAAACTGTGGTGTCACTTCATATGATTCCGCTCTGCTCTGTCATGCCACAGATAGGCCGATGGGTGAGATTGTGCAAATTCCGAAACTAGTTGAACTCCGAGCCTCAAACCACGCCGGAGTCTTCGGGGCATCGACATCGCAGAACCGGTAGCTTTCTGCGGCTGGATGGTTGGTGACGCTGCTCCTTTCTGCAGTGAAGCACGTCCCACCGATTCTTGTGCCTCGCGCCAGGGTGCCGATCTTTCAGGGATGCGAGGACCGGGACGCGGGGAAGGTCGCATGCAAGGTTGCAAGAGGCCTCTCAAACAAAAATACTCGATCCACCCGCCATGCCGGACAGCTGCCAGCATGGGAGGAGTTCTTGATAAAGCAGATCGCCAAGAAGGTGCGCCGAGGGAGCCAGAGCATCTTGCAAAGGGCCAGCTGGACGAGTCCGAGTGTCCTTTTTGTTACCAAATCGAGAAGAGGCGCAGTGCCGACGCTACGACGGCCACGAAGAGATCGTCTTCTCGGACCAGGTCCCGTGACAAGCCCGCGTCGTGCGCGCCTCGCTCCTATATCGCTTTCTTTGCTCTCTGCAGGTCCCTCTGCTGGTGGTCCTGTCGGGAGCGGTTCGCATCTGCATCGGCTGCGCTCCAGCGCCGCACCCAGTGGGAGTTCTCCCGCAGCAGCGCGCATGCGCTCGTGCTTGCCGCTGCTTTTTGAGGACACGGATGCCGGGCCCGGGAGCGTGCTGAACGTCCCAGGCATGCTGGGCCTGCACGAGCTGGCGGAGCCCTACAAGCCAAAGGCAACACGGCCCAGCAGCTATGCCTTGCAACCGGAAACAAACCGTCTGTGCTTCAGGCAGGGAAGCCGGCAAGTGATCCCAACGACGACCTTGATGACTGCGTGTCCATGGATCCAAAGACGGCCCAAGGCCCTCTCAAGGACCCACGGAGCGCGAACACTGAGAATCAGCCGGGCCCTCTCGGTGAAGAGACTGAATTGCCAGGACGAGGTTCAGAACATCTACAACCTTTGTCCCATCAGCTGCTACAGCAGCCAGAAGCAGACCAACCTCTCTGGCTGGCTCCGCATGGATCCTCTTTTTAAACAAGTCCCTGACTTCTTTCACAGGCGATTCCCTGCAAGTCCACGCGCTGGAAATCGGTCTTCATAGGGAAGAGAGCGCAGCTTTCGAAACTGTAACTTACAGAAGGGAACTCACAGACTGGGTCTAAGAGTTCTGCATGCCGTTCCAAGGACATCAAACCAGCAGATAGTGCGGGCGCGAAGGTTGCGATGGCAGCTGGGTAGCAAAGCTTCTGCCGCTCCAAGCACAATACAGCAAACCTTGCACTCTGCAGTGTAGGTCTCGTTGGACTTGGTTGAGAAGGTACTGGCCAAAGGCTGGTTCTGGTCCTTTGGTGCAGTTGCGTCGTGTCAGAGCTCCTCCGCAGGCGACGCCTTGCGACCCTTTCATGCAAACTTGTCCAGATTGACGGAGCCTGGCACTGCAGACAGGGAGCTTGCTCTGCTAAGGGCGCGGGCTCCTCTCGATCCCGTTCTAGTCTATATTGACTTATATGCTAAGGACCAGTTCATTTGCATCCTGCGGCACGGCATGTTCCCCGGCGTCCCGCCGGAGGTGCGCAAAGACCCATGCCTGGGCATGTCCGTGGGTAGGAAGTCAGATGAAAAACTGTTTTTTACATCAATTTTTTGCATGCAAAAAGCGGGGTTTGATCGCAGCTGTGGGCTCCAGCGCTTCCTGGTGCCAGGTTATCTGGCTGATTGCCTGCGGAACGCAGCGGCGGCACTATGCCCCAAAGGAGACCCTTGCGACCCGGGCTCAACAGAGAAATCGCTTCCGACATATTCCGACCGTTCCGTAGTCTGCTTGTGCCAGGTAGAGGAGGACGACCTGGGAGAGGTGGCAGATTGGCTGATTGCCATCAACAGCGGCAAGGTGGTTTGGTAAAAGGGTGTCTGACTCTGCAGACTCTTATCTGGGAGGGCCGCATGCATTCAGGCAGATGTGGAGAAGCTCAGCTACAATGGCGAGGAGGCAATCGGAGTCCGGTAACAGCTCGCTCGGCCAAGATCTAATGCCTGCAGGCAGTACCACAGACGATTGGCTCACTCAGTGAGGGGGCTGTCATGGGAGACGCCCTTCGGCTAAGCGCAAGTGGCCGACACGCATTTCAATGATTTCTGCAGCGACACCAACAGGTCTGCTTCTTGCACGGCGGGGTGCCGCGGGGCGCCACTGTGCGTGCACAGACGGAGGCAGGCGTCGGGACACTCGTGCGAATAAACTTGAAGGGGACTTTCACCGAAAAGCCCATGGGCACAGGTGGACGCCATTGCCATCCCACCGAGTGCCTCCCGGCACAGGAACGAGTGAAGACATCACCTGACTGCTTCTTTCTTTGTGGGAAACAGTAGAGGTGTGGATGGTACCGAAAAGTTTTTCACCGCGGCCCCCGAGGTGATTCTGGATGCGCTAGCCATGTTTCCTGGGATCACCAGCAGTGCCTCGTGCTGAAGAGGGGCAAGAGACGCTTTCTAGGCCACCTTCTTCTGGCGGTCGTGTTGCCCTGAACTGGGTAAGTTACTCTTGGGCTTCGGCTTCGAAAAGGACCCTAAACCCTAAACCCTAAACCGAAAAACCGTAAACCCGAAAAAACCCCGGCTGCTTTGCTGAGGCTTCATGGGGAGGCTCCGGGAGATCGTGATGCAGCTCCAGGGCAGCCTCCCTCGCCCCGCGCAAGCCCTGAAGGCCGAGAGCGGAGAACAAAACGAAAGAAACATATTGTTATTCTTCTTCTTCTTATTATTATTATTTTATTATTATTATTAGTATTATTATTATTATTAGTGTTATTATTATTCTTATTATATTATTATTATTATTATTGTTACTATTGGTATTATTATTATATATTATTATTGTTATTATTCGTATTATTATTATTATTCGTATTATTATTAGTGTTATTGTTATTGTATATTATTATTGTTATTATTAGTATTAAAAAAATTGTTGTTGTTATTATTATTATTACCATTATTGTTATTGTTATTATTATTATTACCATTATTGTTATTATTATTATTATTCTTATTTATTGTTATTATTATTATTGTTACTATTATTGTTATTGTTATTCTTATATATATAATATAATATGTATATATATATATATATCAATCAAAAGCAATGGAGGCACTGTACTGTTGTTTTTTATGACAGCATAAGGACACGGCACAGCCACTCGTTACAGACGGATGCTTTACTAGTCTCTCCAGCTGCGTCGCCTGCGCCGGTTTGCAAGCTGTTTGTTGCTGCGCTCGCACAGGGGATGCAGATCTTCTCCAGCTGTGACCTGGCCTTCCTCCGAGCGGTGGCCTCCGTCTCCGAGCGCAAGGCAGGGCAAACTCTCGGAGAGTACAGCCATCCACGGATTCCTTACGTTTTCCAGGAGGCGGAGCGAGGGCATAGACAGACTCCGCAAGGAGAGACGAGACCGGACAAACGTGGCAGAGAGACAGAGCTAGAGAGAGCTTCAGCTAGAGTCAACGTCGACGATCATGTCCGTCATCCATCCATCCATCCATCCATCCATCCATCCATCCATCCATCCATCCACATCTTGATCTGTCCATCTGTTCAGCTCTCATATCTATCTATCCATCCATCCGCCCATCCGCGTGTCTATCCGTCTAAATTCCTATCTGCGTTTGGCGCAGGTCTTCTTCGCAGGCGACCAGGTGCGGGAGGACTTTCTGCGGGTTGGGAAGAGCGCCTGAATGTCTCGATACTGAAGTCGGACCAGGAGGGGATCATAGATGACACCCTGCGAGTGATCGAGTTCGGGCGATGCCGCGTCGAACGGCGACGCGAGGGTCTCCCGGGCAGAATTTGAGACCTTCTGACGACCGGTGAAGATGACTCAAGGCTTCTCTGCACCCCGAAGTTTGTGGTCGGAATCCATCGAAGCTAAGCCTAGAAGCGGTCAGCACAGTTTGAAGCGACAACCCTTCCGTAGCTCTGCACGTGCTGTCCGTCAGAGGCGGTTGTGGCGTCGAGTTCTGCGGCTCCTGCGAAGTGGGCACCGTGCTGGGGGAACGAAGGCTCCGGGGTTGAAAGTTGTAGCCGGTTTGAACCGGTGAGAAAAGCCGCGCGATGTCCAGACTCCCACAGCGAAAGCCGTGATCCGGCTTGTCTTTGGCCTTCTGCAGGTTCTTCAACATGCCGTCCATGTGGCCAGACGCCACCTTCAGGATTGCCACACCCTTGGCCCTGCTCCTCTTCATCCCGAGGCAGCTCTGCTCAGCTTTGCAGGAGGTCCCTCAGCCGCAGTGCTGCAGGCAGTCTTTCAACGGTGTCCTGGACAATTACCCCTCCGAGCAGCAGCGATTTCGCCTCGTGAAGGCACGTGCAGCCGAAGCAGCACTTTCGGGTGCATCTTGCATCTTACAGCGTTTGGCACATGGCACATACTGTATCTAGTTAAAGCTTCTGGCTCCTCAAAGACTCCTGAGACCCCGCACATGTCGTTTGCAAAATGGGTTGAAATCCTGGACTGTTGTGACAAATTGAAGATGGACCGCCTGAAGCCGCAGGAGAACACCAAGACGGACGGAGGTAATGCGAAGCGGGAGCACGATGCGGCCAGCAGCCTGCCTGCAGTTGCACCGAGCCTCCCGAAGAAAAACCCCAATAGGCTTCTCTGACGCCTAAACCCTAAACCCTAAACCCCTAAACCCCTAAACCCCTAAACCCCTAAACCCTAAAGCCTAAACCCTATCCTCTCAGCCCGAACTTCACCCTCCGGCCTTCACTCCGAGGCCTCACCATTCTGCAAGGATNNCTTCCTCCAGGCAATTGCAGGCGCCAAAAACGAGCCGTCTGAAAGAGAGTTTCGGAGCTTTTGACCCACTGTTTTTGGATTCAGGTTGTGGTTTCGGGGCCGCGAAAAGCGTGGGATGTTGCTCCCCAAACTCGAGTCCTCGTCCGCCTTGTTTCTGAGACTCGGGCAGGCTGCATCCGCACGGTGACCTACAAGATTGGTCAGACGATCACCGTGCAGGGGGCCGTGGATTCGGGCTCCATGCAGCTTGGCTTGGCTTGTTTGAAAGGCACTCGAGCCGTCATCTTCTGGCAAGCGAAAGGAACTCAAAGCTTCCAAAGACCGAGGTACATCATCAAAGGAGGGTCAGCCGAAGTCTTCGTCAATCACCGCTACGTCAAAGACGTGCCTCGCTGGACGGTTTAAGCGAACATGCAGCTCGTTGCTGACTAGGATAGATGGTTCACGGTTCGTGGTAGGAAAGAGCAGCAGAGTAATGAATAGGGTATCGGTGCCACTCCCGGCCTGTTTCCATGAAGCCTCTCAGCCTCTCACTGTGTTGCTGCTCCATCTTCTTGCCTCTTGCTTCACTATCCCGCTTCCATGACCGCAAGTTCAGTCTTCCTCCTCTCGAGCGAACATGGCTTTTGCATTGGTGTTTTGTCTGGCGATTGCAGCCTTTGTTGCATGGAATGTCACTTGCTGGGTGAAGAGATGGGGGTGGGGAGTTGGGGTGTGGGGGGGGGGGGGGGGG